TGTAGTTTATTTCGTGCGTTTACAGTAACGATTCTGGGGAATCCATTGGCCTCACCAGTCTGCCAAAGGGGGGGGGGGTCTATTTGACACAGAAATGGCTCAGAAGCCCATTTCTGTGAACGGCAGGGAGTGAAGGGCAGGTTTGAAGCAGACCCGGAAGTGACCAGGTCCTTTCCCTCTATGAATGGTTTCCCCTATTCTAAAAATATCTTATCCTTTGTTCCTTAAGTTACCAGTTGCTATCCACATGGCAAGCAAGTCAGCCAGCAAGGCATCACGAGGGAGAGACAATAGAGAGCAAGAGAAACCACTGCCAACTTTCCCCTCAGACCTGGATGGAGTTGTCCTGGGACCCTGGGCCCAAGACCTCCAGGAACAGTAGCATTCCTCACATTATAGGCCTTGATTTCAGCCCAGGCCTCAAAACTACCTGCCAGGGAATTGGCCCTTGAGAGATACAACAAGGCAACTGCAGGTACTCCAGGCTTTTTTGCTGTTGAGTAGTTTTTCAGTCATGACTGACTCTTTGTGACGCCCATCTGGGGTTTTCTTGGTAAAGATCCTGGAGTGGTTTACCATTTCTTTCTCCAGTTCATTTTACAGATGAAGAATTGAGGCAAACAGGATGAGGTGACTTGCCCAAGGTCACACATCTAGTGTCTGAGGTCAGATCTGAACTTGGGGAGATGTGTCTTCCTGATTCCATGCCCAGTGCTCTATCCATTTCGCCACCTAGCTGCTCCAGGCTCTGAAGACCAATTGAAGTCCTCACCACCAAAGTGCTTGGCACTGCCAAATGGTTCAGTAACAGAAGTGGACATGATTTTATCAGTGGAAAATTGCATTAAAGAAATGTATACCATCTGCTTTGCCACTGTGCCCTAAGGACCAAGGGACATTTCCATCTAATTTGCAGGGGAACCATCCCATGTGTTGGTTCCACCAATTAGAATGTGAACTCCTTGAAGGTGGGGACTAGCTTGCTTTTCTATTTGTATACCTATCGTTTAGCATAGTGCTTTATACATAGTAAGCTCTTAATGCTTCATTCATTCATTACCTTTTCTTTCCCCTTTATAGCCAAATTCTTAGTTTTTTTCCTACCTCCACTCCCTCCACTTCATTCTCATTCAGCTCTCTAGAATGGGGCATGTATACCCAATAAGCAACTGAAACAGTTCTCTTCAAGGTCTCTAATACCATCCTTATTAAATCCAATGGTTTTTGTGGTGGCTATTCTTACCTTCTTTGACCTCTGTGCAGCATTCATTACCCTTCTGGATACCAGCTCTTCCCTTGGCTTATCTATCCACTTAACTTCCTACTTCCTATCCCCTAAATGAAATAAACTCTCAAGGGGTAAAGCAGTCCTTATTTTCTGCTCTTTCTACATGCAATCTCATCTAATCCCATAGTTTTAACGATCACATCCATACACTGACTCTCAAATCCGGTCTCTTCTCAGAAATATAGTCTCATATTTCCAACTGGCAGCTAACTATATCCAGTTCAATGTGTCCCAAATTGGACTCTTCATGCAAGACCTAGTCTTCTCCAGAACTTTTCCATTTCTGTTGATAGCCTAACACAGTGCTTGGCACATAGTAGGCACTTAGTAAATGTTGACTGACTGCACCATCATCTGTACAGCCACATCGGTTCAGAACCTTAAAATTATTTGTGACTCACATCTAATGAGTTGCCAAGCTCTGTCAATTCTTCCTTGGCAATATATCTTCAACCTATTCCTTTCTGTAACTGCTGCAAATACTCTACACCTCAGGTCCTTTTACCTAGACTATTTAACAGCCTCTTAATCAGTCTTCCTCTCTAATTCATCTTTATTACCAAGTACTACCTATCTTTACTAACTCAGGAATATTCCTAATGCACCTCTCTGAACTCATACAGCTCTTTTACTCAAAAGCTCTAATGGCTTTTCATTGCCTTAAATGCCTGAGCCTCAAATCAAAATCCTCCAGAATGTGGCTCCAACCTGTTCTCTCATATTCTAGCCAAAATGTGCAACTTGCCCCTCCCCCTGATTCTAATCATGCCATCTCTTGCCCTTCTTTTCCTCACACCATCCCCCATGCCTGGAAGTGACTCAGGAATGTGCTTGCCCACCCTAAATCTCAACTTCCAGGCCCAAAATCAAATGCTACTTCAAGGGATCCTTCATTATTAACCTCTTATCACTCCCCACCAACCATAAAGGAATGATTTGTCCCTTTGAAAATATTTCATACCACTGACTTGGCATTCTCCTTTGTAAGAGAAGTTTACTTTTTACAAAATAAACATGACATAAAGTATATGTATGATACACAGACACACATTATGTCTATCTATCCACTCTCCCATATTATAAGCTTCAGTGTCTGTGTTCTGTCTTTATAATTCTATTCTTAGTAATGCTAGGTGTTTCATTGAATCAAATTAAATATTAAGTGCTTAATATGAAAAGCATTGTGTTAAATATAAGGAGAAAAAATTATATGTAACACTAACTCTATCATGTAGTTTACAACCTAACAATTTGATTTAATGGAAAGAGCACTGATTTAGAATTAGAAAACCTGGTCTAAGCCTTGACTGGCTGACCTTGGGCAAGTCACAAGAAGTCAATGTGGTAAGGTAATCCAATTCGAGATTTGCTGACACTCCCCCCACAACCCTGCCACACAAACTTCAGTTTCTCTATTAATTTATTTACCTCTAGTTTTCTGTGTGCTTACAACTTCCACTTTCCTTACAAGCATCCCAACACATGCCCTGTGACAACCCAGTTTCTAAATTGATTCAATTAATTCTGTAGTTTCTTTTTTCTTCTTTTTTTAATGTTTGCCTTTCTCCCTTTCCCACCTTTCCCAGATAACAGGAGTGACACTTAAGATTACCCACCCTGCCCACTCCTTGCTCATTCAATATTTATAACCATAATCAAAGAACTCCTCTTTTCCATCCTCCTTACCTTTACTCTTGTTGTTACATTAAAAGGATGTAAATTTTACTTAAGGAATCAAACCTTTTGTTCCCTCTGTCTTCCTTATAATTGTTGCAATGGAGGAAATCATACACTTTCTGTCATTTGGATGCCCCATCTCAAGTCCAACCTTGAGGACAACTGCAATTTCTCCAGGCCATCTCCATTGGGTCTGGGCCAATAGAGTATTCATGTGGGAAATCACAGTCCAGCTTTTTCTGGTGACAGGGTGAATAAATCCTGTTATTCAAATCCTAGTTTTTGATGCTATGTTTTTCTTCTCAGCTGCTTACACAACAGGCTCTCCTGCTTTCTCTACTGTTTTTATTCCTTTACTTATTTAAAAAAATTTTTTTTAGTTCCTTGTTAGGTGGCATTCTCTATTCATACCAACCATGTGCCTCTCAATTGCACTCAGAGTGCTACACTTTAATTCTTTGGAGACTATAGTATTCTATAACTTATAGTCATACACCATTGGTAGACTAACAATAGTAATAAGTCTGGGGTGACTAAAATGGCATTTTGACATTACAGCTGTTAGCCTTGGACAAGTCATTTCTACTTTCTGAATCTTGATTTCTTCATCTGTTACCTGAGGAGGCTGGACTTAGATTACCTGTAAGGGCCCTTCCATAAATATCTCTCCTTCCTAAAATAAATAGTACTTTCAAAATTACATTTCAATGTACTAAAATGGCTAAAAATTTCTTTCTTGATGAGCCACTTTCTTAGTTGCAGTTCACCACTGAAGTTTTGTTCAGAATTACCCTTAAGAATCCACAAAGCATCTAACTGCTACCTTGTGTTATTTTTAGCACAATTATTTTAACACACTCTAAATTTAATAAGCAGCTTAATACCACCGATTATACTTCATTTACCCATTTCCTTTATGGTTTAACTTTTCATGATTTGTGAGCACTACTTTTTTTACCCCACGAGCAAACACTATTTTTATTGTCCAGAGGCAGACTATTTAACTAGGTATCTGAAGCAGTCACTGGTATGTTATATAATATGCAAAACGTAAGTAAAATAAATATCAATGAAGCATTTTCTATCTGAAACAAACTGTTCTGGTTTCACCCAATTACTTGAGCCAATACTCCTGTGGCTAAGCTACTGCACTGGGAAGAACAGCAACTGACACATGGAAAATAAAATTTTGTTTTGTTTTGTTTTACACCTGAAAGTGTTTCTTATATCTAAGCATCTACATATTGATGGTACGAAATGGCAGTAGCTACAAGGTAAAAATTTAACATCATAACACTTGTCAGTCTATCACTTTAAAATTTGAAAAAAATTGTTCAATGAATTAAACATAGAAAAATCACCTTCAAGAGAAGATTTAATTAAAGGACTCCCAAGTCATTTGTAGAGACTATCTCGCTCCATTTTGGGAAGCCTGTAAGCTTTCTTTTCTGTCACCCTCAAGTATTGGGGAATGGTAAGGAAACTAACGTAAAATTTCATTGCTCATGGGCTCAAATAGTAAATGGTACACGAGCAACATACATGCTTGAAATTGTGCAAAACACTGAACGCAGACTATAATTTTTAATCAATCATGTATATATGCCTAGTTAGGTATTTTGCTACTCACTATTTGCTACTAAACTATTTCTTGGTAACAAAGATAAAACAGATCAGTAATTAAGCTTCTCATAAATTAGTAAAAATTCTATAAAATAACATTTTCATAATCAGGAGTCATGAAAAAGAGAAAAAGATAGAGTCTACTTCATGTTAAAATAGTAGATGTTAAGATCAAACTAGCTTTATGTATTTAAACACCATTGCTGCAAAACACCAGCATTTTACAAAGGCAGAATACAGGACTGGATTTATCTGCTTTGACTACTGGAAGGCTTTTTCTTCAAAGAGGCTTTTAGTAATCTTTTTGTTGTTAAAAAAAAATTCAGTACATTGTGTCAAAGCAGCAAATAAGAATTAGTAAAACTCTCTATTTTTTCAAGTTTACCAAATAAAATTAGGCAGTTTGACTCACCAATTAACCAAAGGGGTTTGTTTGTTAATAATGTAGAAATAACCTCATTCCACATCTATCATTTCTAGTCCATCTCTTTCTTTAACATATGTCACAGGACTTAGCGCTTTTCCTGGATGAGATTGTGTGCCAGTCTCTTCAATGACTGTAAAGTTTTCTCCTTGAATTGTAGCTTCTAACCTTATTTTTCCGGTATTTTGAAATAACTGAGTCACTGGTCTTAACCTGGTTTTCTCAGTCCTTCGGATTAAATGATCCTCCACTTTTGAATCACTGTGTATAGCAGATACTTGAGTAGCAGATTTACTAAGAGAGAATCCCATTTTGGGATATCTTCAAAGTCTGAAAAAAAAATTGCCAAGAAAATTTCTATGTAGTTGAAAGGCAATACTCACAAATTTTTCTTCAACTTGATCACTGAAAAACTCCTATTTGAAAGATAGAAAACCAATGAAAATATCAAAAGCTAATACTAATTACTTGCCATGTATGCTTAAGACATACATAGCTTGGAAGGAATAGAATGTCATTGTTATATAGAATTATAGAAAGAATTTACTCCTCCCCACTTACCAGTATTTAGAAGGTTACATTTTCCTTTTCAGAAGGTTCATAAATTCTTTATTTTTTAAAAATTGTTTAACATTTAAATTTACTATTTATTCTAAACATGATTTTCTTTTTAAATTTTGAGTTCCAAATTCTCTCCTCCTTTCCACCCCTCCCCCACCCACTGACACAAATAATATGTCAATTATACATGTGAAATCATGCAAAACATATTTCTGTATTAGCCATATTTTTTAAAAAACAAGAAAAATAAAGTAAGAAAATTATACTTCAGTTTGCACTAAGAGTTCATCAATTGTCTCTCTGGAGTTGGATGGCATTTTTCCATCATAAATTTTTTGGAACTGTCTTGGATCATTGTATTGATCAGAGTAACTAAGTCTTTCATAGTTATCATCATTACAACCTTGCTGTTATTCTGCAAAATGATCTCTCAGTTTTCATTTCATGTTGAATAAGTTCATATAGTTCTTGCCATGCTTTTCTCAAACCACCCCCTCATCATTTCTTAAAGCACAATAGTACTCCATCACAATCATATGCCACAACTTGTTCAGTCATTCTCCACTTGATGAACATCCTCTAAATTCCCAATTCTTTGCCACCACAAAAGAGCTACTATAAAGATTTTTGTACACATAGGTTTTTTTCCTTTGATGTCTTTGGGATACAGATCTAGTAGTGGTATTACTGGGTCAAAGGGTATATGCAAAGTTTTATAGCCCTTTGAATATGGTTTCAAATTGTACTCCAGAATGGTTGGACCAGTTCACTACTATTTTTTTCTTCCTCCCCTCCAGCATTTGTCATTTCTGAGAGGTGAGAGGTGGTACCTCAGAGTTGTTTTAATTTGCATTTCTCTAATCAAAAGTGATATAGGGCATTTTGACTATAGATAGCTTTGATTTTTTCTTCTGAAAACCGCCTGGTTATATCCTTTGACCATTTACCAACTGGGGAACAGTTCTTATTTTTATACATTTGACGCAGTTCTATACCCAGTATGCATTTGAGAAATGAGGTCTTTTCCAGAGAAACACTGTAAACAATTTTCATATTACATCATTGTGTATGATGCCTTTTAGCAGAATGTAGTTTCCCTGATTACCTCTTTTAATTAGGTCAGTTTTTGCTTTTGCTTTGTCTGAGATCACGACTGCTACTCCTGCCTTTTTTAGTTCAGCTGAAGCATTTTAGATTCTGCTCCAGCCCTGTATTTTAATTCTGGGTGTGTCTTTCTGTTTCAAGTGTGTTCTTGTAAACAATATATTGTTGGATTCTGGTTTCTAATCCATTCTACCATCTGCTTCTGTTTTATGAGTAAGCTCATCCTACTCACATTCACAATTATGATTACTGTATATTTTCCTCTATCCCATTTCCTTGTTTGTTCTCTTTTTATCCTGTCCCTCCTCAAAAATCTGTTTTGCTTCTGACCACTGCCTCCCTTAATCTACCTTCTCTTTTATCACCTCTCCCTCTATTTCTCATGCCCTTCCCCTATTAGGTAAGTTACATTTCTATACACAGCTGAGTGTGTAAATATATTCTTCCCTCTTTGAACCAATTCTGATGAGAGTGAGGTTCAAATACAACCTGCCACCACCATCCCCCTCCTATTTTTCCCTCCTTTGTAAAAGTTCTTGAGTTCCTCTTTCATGTGAGAAAAATTTCCCCATTCCACCTCTCCCTTCCCCGTTCCCCTAGTGCATTCCTTTCTCACCCCTTCATTTTTTTTGAAGATCACTTCAACATAACTGACTCACATCCATGCCTTCTTGTCTATGTAATCTCCTTTTAACTGCTTTAATAATGATAAAGTTCTTAGAATTTACATGTCTCATCTTCCCCTTTGAAATATAAACAGTTTAACTTTATTGAATCCCTTATGATTACTCTTTCATGTTTACCTATTTATGCTTCTCTTGAGTCTTTTGTTTGAATATCAATTTTTCTATGCAGCTCTGGTCTTTTCATTAGGAATGCTTGAAAGCTCTCTATTTTATTAAATATCCATTTTCTTCCTCCAAAAGATTATACTCAATTTTACTGTAAAACTCAATTTGGTTGTAGTCTTGGTTCCTTTGACTTCCAGAATATCATATTCCAAGCCCTCCACTCCTTTATCATAGAAGCTGCTAATCTTGTGTAATCCTATTATGCCATTATATTTGAATTGTTTCTTTCTGGCTGCTTGCAGTATTTTCTCCTTGGTTTGGGAGCTCTAGAATTTGGCAAGAGTATTCCTGGGAGTTTTCATTTTGAGATCTCTTTCAGGAGGTGATTGGTGGATTCTTTCAATTTCTATTTTACCCTTTGGATCGAAAATATCAGAGCTTTCCTTGATAATTTCTTGACATATGATGTCTAGGCTCTTTCTTTGATCATGGCTTTCAGGTAGTTCGATAATTCTTAAATTATCTCACCTTGGTCTATTTTCCAGATCAGTTGTTTTTCCAATGAGACATTTCACATAGTCTTCTATTTTTTTCATTCTTTTGACTTTGTTCTATTGTTTCTTGATGTCTCATGGAGTCATTAGCTTCCACTTGCCCAATTCTGCTTTTTAAGGAGTTGTTTTCTGCAGTGAATTTTTTAAACCTCTTTTTCCATTTGGTGAATTCTGCTTTTTAAGGAGATCTTTATACTTCCATGAATTTTACCATTAGACCAATTCTATTTTTTTCCTTTTTTTTTGCTAAGCAATCGGGTTAAGTGACTTGCCTGGGGTCACACAGCTACTAAGTGTCATGTGTTGTGTGTCTTAGACCGGGTTTGAACTCAGGTCCTCCTGACTCCAAGGCCAGAGCTCTATCCACTGCGCCACCTAGCTGTCCCTGACCAATTCTATTTTTAAGGTGTTATTTTCTTCAGTGACGTCTTATACCTCTTTGACCAAGCTGTTAATTCTCTTTTCATAATTTTCTTGCATCATTCTCATTTCTTTTCTTTTTTTTTTTTTGGTTTCTTTATTGATCTTCTCCACTCCCTCCCCTCCCCCGTGGGTGGGAAGATGAAGGGGGTGGAGGTGAGTAGAGGAATTGTAAGAACCCAAGTTCTTTGGGGAGTCTGGGAAGGAACAGAAACCAAAACAAACAGTGAGTGAGACAAAAAGAAAATGGGAATTGACAACCAAAAAGAGTTGGAGGAGGACTGTAGGGGAGAGAGGAAGAGGCAGAAAAGGTTTAGATCCAAGGGAGAAAAAAGAAAATACAGACATTGGGGGGGGTGGTTTCCTCTACCTGAGTCCTCCCTAACTCCAGCCAGAATGGGCTGAGGGAAAGAGAGTCTTAAACATTGCAAATTGCAGGCCTTGACAAGAGGTGCTGGTGTTTGTCTTCCAGCAGAGAGAAGAAACTGAGGAGAATGGGGTAGTTAGGGGATGAGGAGAGGAAGAGACAGGGGAACCCTCACTCTTCTTAGAGAAGGGCCCCCCCACCCAGAGGTTGGCAGGCAGCTTCACAGACCGTAGATGCTTTCGTCGCTGTAGGCAGTGTATAGAAAGAAGTCGTCTTCATGATGTTCCCGGTAAAGCTGACCCATGGTGGCGCTGGTGGGTGGAATGACATTGTTGACAAAGAAACATAGGGCATCCTCAGCTCGAAGGTGAATTTGCTTCCAGATCAAGAAGCAGAACTGACCAACTGTGAGATCAGAAGGCACCAGGTATTTCTTCGTGTCCAGGTCACCTATCCGGGTCTTAGGAGCTTTTTCCACAATCACCGGACCCGAATGGGACACTACTTGTGCATCTTCTTGCCTGCAGAGCAGCGCTTCTTGAATGGGTACTTCTTGTAAATAAACTTTATCCTCCCAGGGACTGAGCCTGGATGGGCTGAGGCGACTGGGGGAGGGGGCAGTGGTGACAGAGACAGCCAGCCAGGCGGGTGAACTCACTTGGCTGAGTCATCTCTTCGACCTGCCATTCTCAATTATTTTCCCAATTTTTCCTCTACCACTCATCTCTTTAATGCTTCCAGGAATTCTTATTGGGTTTGGGTCCAATTAGCATTTTTTTCTTTTGAGGCTATGTTCATGGCTATTTTCACACTGTTTTCTTCTGAGTTTATGTCTTCACGTTCCTTGCCACCAAAGTAGCCTTTTATGGTAAAATTCTTTTTTTATTATTATTTGCTCAGTTTTCCAGCCTGCTTCTTGATTTTGAACTTTAGATTAAAGTTGGGCTTTGCTCACCTTAGCACTGTCCCAAGCTTTAGGCTTTTTGATGTTGTTATTTCCAGAGCTAGTTCTGGGGGGTCTGCAAGTTTTTAGTGCTTCCAAGGTGATGTGATCTTTGGAGAAGTAGGGTCACTGCTCTCTTGGTCCGTACTCTGATCTTTACCCAGGAAAGGCTCCTGGTCCCCTGCAGCCACAAGCACTACAGCTCCTCTTTGCTTTGGAACTGTAACCACGACCCCTACTCCCTAGTGATCAACCCCCAGCTCTCCTCTTTGCCCTGGAACTGCAACTCAGAATTGCATATGGGCAACAGAGATGCCAATCAGCACCAGCTGTACCTAGTAACAGCAAAAGGTTTCCCTGTTAACTTTTTTCTGACCAATTGTTCGATTCCCTTATCATCATCTGTGGGCTGAGAGCTTTTGAAGGTGCTGCAGCCACTGTTGCTGCCATAGCTTATGTGGGCTCTGGACAGGCCTCCACCCTCATGTCACAAACTTCTGCTGATCTCCTAAGTTTTCTTATGCTGGAAAAATCCTTGGCCTTGTCACTCCAAAATTAGATTTGAGATGTTATTTTAAGGTTGTTTAGAG